CACTACGCTACCAGAGCTCCTTGAGAAAGTTACATGGGATTCAAAAATGAGATTTAATGATAACATCACCGTAATATTCAGGAACTCCTTTATTAAAATGGTAAATGAGCAGTCCTTGCTTTACATAGCACTGCCTTAGCCAACTGTTAAACAAAGCAAGAAAAGTGTTGCTACATGTTCAAAATACAGTGTAAAGCTACTACGGAAAGCAAGGACGGCTGTATTCAGAAACATTTCAACCAACAATAATCTAACTGACAGCCCTGTACTAACTAGAACCTAGTTTAAACACATATGCATATCTGCCACACTTTATTTATTGGGTGTCTTGACCAAATATATAAGTATACATTCCTTATGTGAGGGTAATTTAAAAAGCACTACTACATAAAAAGGTAGGTTTAGAGGATGGGAAGGCTTACAGCTGGGGAAATTTGTAGATGAATCCAGAAATCCATTGTTTTCTAGTTCAAGACGTTCAGCTGTTCCTGCAGCCGCCATCTTGGGACAGAACATCTTGATTGTATCAGGGTTGATACCGAAATTTAAAGTGACAGTTTTGACATAAAACCAAACGGCCACCACTCGTCTGTCTGTCGTGCTGTGGTGGCTTGAGTTGCTGTGATTCTGAGGGCTATGCCACCAGTATTTTAAATAACCAGCAGGGTCACCCATGGTGGAGAGGTTTCAGATGAGCTTCCAGACAAAGATAGACTAGGAAGAAAGAGTAACGAACTACTTCCGAATATTTAGTCTCTGAAAACCTTATGAATAGCAGAGAAACACTGTCAGATACAAGGCCAGAAAATAAGCCCCTCAGGTTGGAAGGCACTCAAAATGTGACTGGGGAAGAGATGCCTCCTCAAATAGAGTTGACCATGATGACACGAACAGGGTTATGCTCGTGGGAGAAAAGCACATAGAACCTTCATTTGCTGATGGGGCACAACTCAAAATGAAGAGAAACAGCTGTAAACATCCATTGAAAATCGGAACGTGGACTGTACGAAGTATGAATCTGGGAAAATTGGAAGTTGTCAAAATCAAATGGAACGCATCCACATCGATATCTTAGGCATTAGTGAGCTGAAATGGACTGGTATTGGCCATTTTGAATCTGACAACCACATGTTTTACTATGCAGGGAATGACAAATTGAAAAGGAATGGTGTTGCACTCATCGTCAAAAAGAATATATCCAGATCAGTCATGAGGTACAACGCTGTCTGTGATAGGATAGTATCCATGCGCCTACAGGGAAGCCCAGTTAATACCACTATTATTCTAATTTATGCACCAACCACTAAAGTCAGTGAGGATGAAATAGAAGAATTCTACTAACTTCTTCAATCTGAAATTGATCAAACATGCTCATTACTGGTGATTGGAATGCAAAGGTTGGGAGCAAAGAGGAAGGACCAGTAGTTGGAAAATATGGCCTTGGTAATAGAAATGATGCTAGAGAATGAATGATAAATTTCTGCAAAACCAATGATTTGTTTCAAAAAGCTTCTTTAGACAGCATAACAGAAGACTATACACATGGACCTCACAAGATAGAACACATTGAAATCAAACTCACTACATCTGTGGAAAGAGACGATGGAAAAGCTCCATATTATCAGTGAAAACAAGGTCAGGGACAGACTGTGGAACACACCATCAATTACTGATATGCAATTTCAAACTGAAGCTGAAGAAAATGAAAACAAGTCCACGAGAGCCAAAATATGACCTTGAATTTATCCCACCTGAATTTACAGATCATCTGAAGAACAGATTTGATGCATTAAACACTAAAGACTGAAGACCAGAAGAATTGTGGGATGATATCAAGAACATCATACGTGAAGAGAACAAAAAGACTTTAAGAAGACAAGAAAGTAAGAAAAGGTCAAAGCGGATGTCAGAAGAGACTCTGAAACTTGCCCTCTAGCATAGAGATGCTATAGCAAATGGAAGAAATGGGAGGTACAGGAGCTGAACAGAAAATTTCAAAGATCAGCTCGAGAAGATAAAGCCAAATACTATAATAAAATATGCAAAGATTTGGAATCAGAAAACCAAAAAGGAAGAACATGGTCAGCATTTCTCTGGGGATCTGAAGAAAAAATTCAAGGCTCGACTTTCGTTATTAAAAGATTCTCTGGGCAAATTATTGAATGATGCAGAAAGCATCAACAGAAGATGGAGGGAATACACAGAGTCATTGTACCAAAAGGAAATGGTTAATGTTCAACCATTAAAAGAGGTAGCATATGACCAAGAGCCAATGATACTCAGGGAAGAAGTCCAAAGTGCATTGAAGAAATTGGCAAAGAACAAGGCACCAGGAATTGATGGTATAAAAATTAAAATCTTTCAAGAAAGTGAGGCGGCACAGGAGGCACTCACTCATCTCTGCCAAGAAATTTGGAAGACAACTATCTGACCGACTGACTGGAAGAGATCCATATTTGTCCCCATTACAAAGACAGGTGACCCAACGGAATGCGGAAATCATCAGACAATCTTTTTGATATCTCAAGCTAGTAAAGTTTTGCTAACGGTAACACAGAAACGGCTACAATCGTACATTGACAGAGAACTTCCAGAGGTTCAAGCTGGACTCAGAAGAAGCTGTGGAATAAGAGATATCATTGCTGATGTCAGATGGATCTTGGCTGAAAGCAGAGA